GAAGACGCTAGTACAAGCGTTCTCTCTTCCGTGGCCGACGTCAGGTGGCGATCGCATGTCACACCCCCCTCCCCCGCCCGGGTAATAGTTTTTTACTCCGCGTACGCGACCCATGACCATTACTCACAGTTCCCCTTCCTCACCTCCAGTCCAATGACCTCTCCATGTCCACCTCGCCATGTGGGCAACTTTAATTATAAGACATTAATAAACCCTGCCCAACTCTTATATTTTCATTATCTATGTAATTGTACAGGCCTGGTGATGAATTGCCGAAAACATGCGTTTGCCAATTAGAGTTTTCAAGTTAAACGTGAGAATACTCGCGAAACCAATGAGCAATGATCACGCCAATTACAACCTGCAACGGCGTTCACGAGTACTGCTAATTGGATTAGGCACATGGTGGCACGGAAACTGCGTCCTATAAACACTTCACTCTGTGCACCTCCATCATCCTTATCTACGACTATCTCGGATGATTCGTTAGATAGAGTGTCCGAAACGTCAGTCCGATAAACCTCTTCATTCTCTGAAGCTGTCGGCACTGGATGGGAACGTATAACAGTTGAGAAAAAGGGACTTTGAGTACAGTTGTGCGTTAATGCACGGTTCTGCTGGTGTCATGGTAGTATGACCAATAGAGGCATGCAAACGTTTTCACTCACCACATAACCAAGGAAGGAGAAGACGCGGCGATTGGTTAGTTTTGGCATGAGTGGATCATCGAGCAAGCAGGGATCGTAGTGCACCAGTGGATCTTCATACAAGACGATACAGCGCTGCTCCGGGGAGTCCATGCTCGGCGTGTCTGGGGAGGTCACCTTCCAGGTTGGGAAACCACCAAGGGGCTTGTGACCGCTACCAGCAGTACCGACTGTTTCACCTGAAGATGCAAATCGCGACTGTTGGACTCGGGGACAGACCAACTACTCAGAGCTTCTCAAAGGCGAATATATGTAGCAAGTGTGTCTGTCTGCAGGAGATTCTGCAAGTGACTGAAAAGTTGACGGTTGTGGATCTCATTGGTGTCCCGTGAAAAATTCAGAATTGAGCACAGGTTGGAAACCACCTAGGGGCTTGCGACCGGTACCAGCAGTACCCCAGAACTGCAGAATTAACCTGTCATACAGTCGTTTACTCCTTTGATGGTTTTGGGTAAAATGAATTAGTTTTAATGATATTTTATAAAGCAAATTGTGGTTTCTACTTAAAATCACAGAACGCGGATCGGGAGGAGGCAAACGATTTGGTGGCTACAAGGGTTCTCGTGCGAACTTCGTGAATTTGCATCAGATAGGGCCCGAACTGCAGGGTTCAAGGCAGTAGTGAGGAAAGTTCAAAGGCCGTACGATAATTACTACTGCAACCTTATTTAAGTAATCTTATCGAAGCAAACAACACATTCGGAATTTCAATTAACAGTTCGTGAAATGGCACATGTACTTTACCGTTGTGTTGTTTAATTAGGACATATAGGGGTGCTTTGTAGAAATAGGTTTCGCGTCTGGAGTGTACAAAATTATTTCTTCAGTGGATTGCTTAATTTCCAACAACAACAACAACAACAACCAAACAGATTTCCGGAAATCACTTAGGATATCACTAAGCTCCTAAAAAGACCCCAAGAGTAATACGAGGTATTCAAAGTCAGATACTACATTGCTAGTACGCAATTCAACGGAAAGATAGCATTGCAATGGCTAA